TTTATTTGGGCCTCAAATACTTTATTCTGAACTCTCTTTTGTAAGTGTTTTAAAATTGTCCTGTTTATCAGTGAGGAAATATTTAATGACAGGGAATCCAAGAATATCTTAGCTACCATTCTATTTCAGGGCATCATGTGCTATTATGTACCTGCCTGTCTGTCACACATTTGGTAGATTGAAATGCATAAAGCTTTCCTGCCACTTTCCCTCAAAACAAAAATTAAGAAAGCATCAAAACAAAGCAAAGCAAAGCAAAGCAAAACCCAACCCAACCCAACCCAGGACATGTTTTCTTTGCTCTGAAAGAGATTTGATAATGCAGAAGTTGGCAAGTGAAATGCGGTCATGGTGAATAAAATGAGATGGTTTGGGGATGGTTCAAGAATTACAACCGGTAGGTACAAAATACAGGATTAGAAGCAGGGCTCTCTTTTAGGACTGTATTCTGTGCAGCTTCAATCAGAAGGATGAAAGTGGTTTAGAAAAGCCATGTAAACAATATCAACAAAATAAATAAAAGTCCCACTAACATACAGTCCCGAAACACTAACAACATGTCAGGGAATTCATGACTGGCAGAGACATGGTAACAAGGTCAGCCAATGAATAGGCATAGCAACTAAGTCAGCCAATGAGGACTGTTTGGAAACTGAAACTGGAAGGAGCCCGACGGTACTTTAGGCTTAGTTTAACTGCCCTGTATAGAGGATGTTCTCTTTGTCTGTATTAAGCTCTGAGTGCTGTGCTGAAAATTAGTCTGCTCTCTGAATTGAAAGTGAAACTCATCTCTTCTGTTCTCTCCTCTGCAAGTGTTTTTTTGCCTGTAACTCTCTACCATGTTGGAAGAATCTGCTATTGGTATTGTATGTGTTATTATGTATATAAAGAGAAGTTAATGAATCTGGCTGAATCAGTTATCTGTGTGTGCTTTCTGGATTTGATTGCTGCAACAAACTCTGACAAACTCACAGTCCAGGTCCATTCTCTATTGACCCATTAATCCTCATGTCCATGTTAACACGTTGACAGTGGGACACAACTCTTATTTCCCAGGATAAGCGATTCCACAGGAGGAATCTATAAGAGAAATTATTATCAAATAACAATAACATTGAATAATTTTGTAGGGTTAGCTTTGCCTTGTCTTGACAGCTTTGTTCAGCTTTTTTGCTTTGTGGGTATTGTCTTGCTGACTTCTTGGATAAAACTAGACATAGAGAATTTAGTGGCCTACATTTGTGTGTGTATGTGTGTGTGTTTCTGGTCACAAATCTGGCAACAAAAGTTTACATTTTCTTTCTATGCCAATCTCTCCAATTCTTATTTGCAATCCCAGCCAAGTTCTTTGCTTGAGCAGGAAAATACTGCCATCAGCACCACAGAAATGTTGCTTTTGTGCTAGCTTCTGGAACTTTCCATCTACACATTGTCTTGGCCGCGGCACTTGCGCTCTCAGGAATTCCTCTATAGCTTTGAACTTGGACACTTGACAGAATCCCTGCTCCATTGTGTGCTTGCCCATCAATAAGATTTAATGTTAAATGCCCTCTTGAAGTTGCTACATATGCCAGCAAATTTTACCTAGTGACTCGAGAGACTATTTATGATGTAACTAAGCATCATATGGAATTCCTTCCCACATCAAATGGTCCAAGTTTAAGCAATTAGATTATAAGATTATCTGCCCACCCAGGCTTTGATTAATGGCTGTGTATTTCTATCTGGATTCCACAGTTGTCCTGTGTTAGATGAGGGGAGGATGAATCCCATCTTCATTTTATTTATCTTCATGACTGATTCCAGTACCGACTGCAGAATTTCATCTGTTTTTAAAGAGGTTCAACCTCATAAGAAGCAAAAAGGCCCCTTCAAGGCTCTGTTATCTTCCAAACAGATTCACAGTATAGTAGACACAATTATTCTTTCAGGAGGTGTAAATAAAGCATGTTGTAATCAGTATAGTGATAACATTGTTTATTTATGCATCACGTGACACTCTATGGGAATGGTTTCAAATGCTCTTTGCAGGCAAGGATTACATCATACGAGGCCTGAGAAAGTACCTGCAATCAGTAAGTAACACCATCCCACACAACGCAGGGGAAGTCCAATTTGTTGTAGCAGTGTTTTTCTCAAACTTGGCAACTTTAAGATACATGAACTTCAACTCCCAGAATTACCCAGGTAGTAAACCAGAATTCCCCGCCACGTTCACACATCCTAAAGTTGCCAAATTTGAGAAATACTGTACTGCTCTAGCAAACCCTCTGTCTCTGCATTTAAATGTTGTTATTTTTCAGTCGCTAAGTCTGTCAGATTCTTCATAACCCCATGAAGGCTTCCCTGTCCCCCTGTCTCCTGGCATTTGCCTAAATTCATCTTCATTGCGACGACACTATCAAACCAGGGGCGGGTTCCAAAACCCGTCGCTACTGGTTCGCTCGTGGGCATGGGTGCGCTCGCATATGCAATGCTTCTGCGCATGCGCAGAAGCGTCTGGGCGGGTGGGAGGAGCCTGCTGCCGCCGCTACCGGTTCGCCCGACCCTGGGCGAACCGATAGCAACCCACCACTATATCTAACCATCTCATCCTCTTCAGTCCCTTTCTGCTTTTGCCTTCCATCTTTCCCAACATCACAGTCTTTTCCAAGAAGTCCTCTCTTCCCATTTGGTGGCCAAAGTATTTGAGCTTCAGCTTCACTATCTATCCTTCCAAAGAACAATCAAGGTTGATTTCCTTTAGGATTGACTGATTTGATCTCCTTGCAGTCCAAGAACTCTCAAGAGTTTTAGAATAGAATAGAATAGAATAGAATAGAATAGAATAGAATAGAATAGAATAGAATAGAATAGAATAGAATAGAACAGAACAGAATATTTTTATTGGCCAAGTGTGATTGGACACACAAGGAATTTGTCTTGGTGCATACGCTCTCAGTGTACATAAAAGAAAAGATACGTTGGTCAAGAATCATAAGTTACAACACTTAATGATAGTCATAGGGTACAAATAAACGATCAGGAAACAATATCAGTATAAATCGTAAGGATACAAGCAGTAAAGTTACATTCATACAGTCATAAGTGGAAGGAGATGGGTGGTGGGAACGTTGAGAAGATTAATAGTAGTGCAGACTTAGTAAGTAGTTTGACAGTGTTGAGGGAATTATTTGTTATTATTAGAATAGGAGAGGAGAGGAGAGAAGAGTTGGAAGGGACCTTGGAGGTCTTCTAGTCCACCCATCCTGCTTAGGCAGGAAACCCTACACCACTTCAGACAAATGTTTATCCAACATCTTCTTAAAAACTTCCAGTGTTTTGTCCAACGCTACAATTCAAAAGCCTCAATTATTCAGCATTCAGCCTTCCTTATGGTCCAGCTCTTACACCCATACATGACTACTAAGAATTGCAGGCTATGCAGAGCAGCTAAAGCAAAAGGAATATAAATGTTTTGGTAGGTGGGGCAGCTATGAATTTTTTTGTCAAGGGTGGGGAAATCAAGGGTAGGGATGCTATTTTGCTTTATAGTTGGCAGGGATTTTGAAATTTTTTAAAACTTCGTTACACCTATTGTAGTACATAGGTGACATTTTTTCCAGCCATTTCAGGTCTCAACATTTGCATAAGAAATTATACTTTCAATTGTCAGCAGTTCTGGTTAGGTGGGCTGCAGAGAACACAAGCCAGAGGTTCAGAAAAATGCAAGTTATCTATCTCTAAAACTGCAGGGTTATGGGAAAAATCAAGCAAAACTCACACCCAGAGCAAGCTTGAAATGTCCATCTGAAGTATACTGTAATTAGGGACAACCTCTTCGGACATAATTGGAGCTTTGCTGGAACAGTCAAAATCACCATCCGCTTCATCATTTTGTTTCATTCACAATGCCACTAGAAAGCACCCAAAATCGAAGTTTGAAACCAATAGCGCCACCCTGTGGCTTGGACCCAGTTCAGACACACAGCTCCAAACTAGTGTTTCTCAATCTCAGCCATGTTAAAATGGGTGGCCTTCAATTTCCAGAATTCCCCTAGCCAGAACCAACTTTGCTAACAGCCTTCTTTAATGACTGAAAGAGAAAATTGAGGGAGCGAAAATAACTCCGCTCTTTATGACCTTTGCGTATTAGTTAGATACATTCTTTTCATTGCTGTAAACTATCTTCTGAGGATCTGTTACAGAAACATTCCATTGCAATACAAATATTTGCAATAAAACTGTAACACACAATCCCTTGTCCGCTGTGAGTGCTAAGATTTCATCAAGTTGGTTTGACTATTTTCCCCCGTTGTTTCTTTTCTCTAAAAAGGTGCATCTACTTCTGCGTTATTCAGACTTTTTCAAACCATTAATTGGCCAAATGTCAAAACAGGCTTGGCTATATAACCATGCAAATGCTGTGATTTGTGTATAGTACTTGTCTCAGATAAGGATGGTATTTATACAATGTCACCATGTTCCTGTTGTCATTTTGACATTATTGTGATATACTGCAGATGCTGATTTGTCATCACTGCACACAATTCTGAAACTAGGAAACAAGATCATACTAGCAATCTGATTTCATACAAAGATTAAAAATGCAACTTCCTAGGCATTAAAACCTGGCTGAAATAAGTGTTTAATGTGAACAGCATGACAGTTCAGGTAGGTCTCAATTAGTTAATGAATGCCAGGAAATGGTTGCCATGGTGGTGCATTGGTTAGAATGCAGTGTTGCAGGCTAACTCTGCCAAATGCCAGCAGTTCGATCCTGACTGGCTCAAGGTTGACTCAGTCTTCCATTCTTCCGAGGTCGGTAAAATGAGTATATACATCTAAGTGCTATTGCTATTATTCGAATCTGTATTATTCCAAGTGGTTTTGTTATGGAAAATATGTTAATCAGTTCCAGCCTGATGGTAATAGGCAGTGAAAAATTTTAAACATAATTTTTATACATGTTAATAAAATGTTACAGTAAAAGATAAAGAGAATGCATTTGTAATGTAGATTTATGGTTAACTTTCTATACAGTAGTTATAGAAAGCAAAATAAAAGAAAAAAACAACTATAGATTCCATCATCCAGACATGTACAGTAAATTGATCCATTTTTTAGCCTTGTAATGACCATATTCATATTGTTCAAGTATGTCAAATTTTTGTTCTAATGCAATGAGCCTCTTCTTTTTAAAACTTGTACTGTTTCCTCTGATGGAATTTACTTTTTCACCATTTTACACACAAGATTAACACATTAAAAACCCAATTGCAGCAGCGTATGCACTAGCCATAGTTCCCCACTCGCATTAACCAAATTTTGGGTCATGTTAAACGCACCCGGTGTCAATTTACGATTCACACTACATCAAATATTGCATTATTTGAACTTGCGCTAATTGTGACCTACCTGTACTTCAGTCTCCCTGCCGATCTAAATTTTCCAGACAGTCTCCAAACCTGAGAGAAAGCCTTTTCTCTCTCAAGGATGGCTTTAACAGGTACCCAGAGGAGATTCCTCTCCCCTTCCCCTCTTAGATAGAAAGTGGTCTCTTCTGAATCAGAAGCTAAAGAGGCAAGTCGGATGGACTGTTGGCCAGAGGAACCCGGTGACCAGGAACCTAAGCAACTTCAGATTGAGTCAAGTAATGGAGCACCGTGATGACAGCTATGGAGTCAGAACAGAGATAATCTGCTCTGAAGAGGTAAACATTGTGGCAGAAGAGGGCAGCCATGGACCTAGTCAAACCACAGCAGTGACTGGCATTATGGAAGACCAGTCTTAGCATTTAACCTTCCACCACCTCTCCAACTCCAGACTTGGATTCCTGTTGCTCCTGTCCCTTGGCCTTCATTTGGACCAGCTCATGGAATTCTCAGAGGTTACAATCTCGAGAGTTCTCTTAGGAAGGTTGTGACATAACAGTTAAAATTTTCAAACTGTATTTGACTAGTGTTCTTTCTGCGTCAACTGCCACAGGACAAAATGGCTATTCTTTTAAAGATAAAGGCAGAATTCCAGGAATATGGAGGAAGACATTTCTATGCCTGAATTGAGAAACATGTAATGCATCTTCTTCCCGACAACTCTGGTAGGTGATCGGAAGTTTCTCAAGAAATTCTGGGATATTCCAGGAATCAACTTTGCTTTGAGATTTAGGTTTTCATTGGGGAATAAATTTCTCCCCTAATTTAGATAGGGGATGTGGTGGCTCAGTGGCTAAGACGTTGGGTTTATCGATCGAAAGGTCGGCAATTCAGCGGTTCAAATCCCTAGTGCTGCATAATGGGGTGAGCTCCCATTACTTGTCCCAGCTTCTGCCAACCTAGCAGTTCAAAACCATGTAAAAAATGCAAGTAGAAAAATAGGGAACACTTTTGGTGGGAAGGTAACAGCGTTCCATGCGCCTTTGGCATTTAGTCATGCTGGCCACGTGACTACGGAGACTTCTTCAGACAGCACTGGCTCTTTGGCTTTGAAACGAAGATGAGCACCACCCCCTAGAGTCAGGAACGACCAGCACATATGTGCGAGGGGAACCTTTACCTTTTAATTTAGATATTGTGTTTAGTTTTAATTTATTTTGTTTTTGCTTAAAGCGTTATTCTCTTATTCTTATTTCTCTGAATAAGTAGAGCATTCTGTATAAATTTAGACTAGTCTTCAGAATATTGATGTTATTATTTCTTTTTAAGTAAAATTGAATTTGGAAGCAAAACTCTTCCCCAACTTATTAATCATTGTGAACCCATGCCATCTTTGAGGGAGGTTTTTTTTTGTAAAGAAGTTTGATTCTATTTATCTCCAAAAGTAGAAAAGAAAATTGAAATCTCTATTCATGCTCCTGTATGCTACTGACCAGAAAGCTGCAATTTTTCCCCCAGTTTTACCTTTTTATTGAAAGTAAGGCAAACCAGATAGAATTAAGAGGGAATGCCAGATGAACACCCCATGGAAAGTATGTAGACTCTTAGGGCTTCTGGGAGAGAAATTTGAGACTTTTACCTTATGGGCTGCCTCATGGTGCTATCAGTAGGCTAGCAATAGCAACAGCACTTAGACTTATATACCGCTTCACAGTGCCTTACAGCCTGCTCTAAGTGGTTTACAGAGTCAGCATATTGCCCCCAACAAGCTGGGTCCTCATTTTACCCACCTCAGAAGGATGGAAGGCTGAGTCAACCTTGAGCCGGTGAGACTCAAACTGCCGAACTGCTGGCAGCCAGCAGTCAGCGGAAATAGCCTGCAGTACTGCGTTTTAACCACTGCCCCGCCTCGGCTCTTGCAAATAATGATCCCAAGACCCCAGGATGTGGAAACCATTGTAGATACATGCTGGGTTCCAAGAACCCAAATTCTGCCTGTGTGATTACAGGGATGCTACAATGATTGTAAGGAGGACCAGTCGTAACTTTTGTCAGTGCTGTTGTAACTTTGAACGATTGCTAAACAAATGGTTCTAGCGTACTGAGCATTGGGGTTAAAAGATGCAATTCAGCCAATATCAGCAAATGCAAAGGTTCTCCACCCAAGAGGCAGAGAGCCCCCATTTTTTTTCTTTTCATGCAAAATAGCAGTTTCTTATTTGAGGACTTACTGTAATAAAAAAAAAGAATACAAGTTTCTATTAGGGCTTTGGACCTCAAATTATAAGCCATAAATTAATGAATTACCACCAGTTCCAACAAAGCATAGTTTCAGGAAATAGGAACTAATTTTTTAAGGTTTTTGAAAATCTTTTCGTGTCCTATGTTAAACTAATTCATTGTTCCCACCCTCATGACCTCTATGAAAAATTTATATAGAACTAATGTTTACAGCTATGTTTAATATATACACTCATGTAAATGAAACCTTTTTTAAAAAAACCTAATAAAAGGTCCATATGCAAGTTTTGCTGACAACTTGCAATTCAGAAGCGGTAATTCCTCTGTGGCTTTTATATAGTCCACCAAGTCTCTTAAAATGCCTGACATTACCGAATAGCTATGCTGAAATAGTTTGAGATAAAAGGGCTCGACTGAGTAGTAAAATACATAGCTTGCATACAAAAGAGATCTGGATCCAAGAACTAACATCTGCAGATTTAGCAGGGAAGACCTGAAAGCCTGCAGATTTACTGCTATTGCTATATACTATAGATAATATTGAGCATGATTAATGAGGCAGCTTCCTCTCTTCCTGAGTTAGATATTTGAAATACTAATGTACAGTCTTCTGTATTTCTGTCTCTTCCAATGGGGCAACTTAGATTAATGATGACAGCATAGAAGAGCTAAGTAGCCAGGTTGTTTATTACAGAATTCTCCCATCTAATGTCCTTCAGATGAATCTGTTCAAAATCTTCCAGCTAGCCTGGTCGATGCAATGGAATTCTCCGAGTTGTAGTCCAAGATGTTGGAATAGGGAAAACAGATTGCTTTGTGTCTTTAGAGCCATGAAAGTCCTTTCAAATATCGCACCAAAGATACAATGGAAGTACAGGTAGTCCTTGACTTATTATGGTCGCTTAGTGATCATTTGAAGTTAGTTTTTTTTAAAAAAGTAAAGGTAAAGGAGTGCCTGTGGATTTTACTCCGTTAGTCATTGCGGAGGGAGTGCTTCTGCATTGGGGGCAGTGCTTATCTCCGTTTCAAGGCCATTGAACCAGCATTGCCCGAAGACATTTCCACAGTCATGTGGCCAGCATTACATCACAGAGCGCTGTTACCTTCCCACTGGAGTGGTACCTATTTATCTACTTGCATTTGTATGCTTTCGAACTGCTAGGTTGGCAAGAGCTGGGGTGAGGACAGGAGCTCATCCTGTCAGGTGGAGCTCGAGTCTCGAACCTGGGTCACCAGCTTTCCAGCCGACAAGCCCAGCGTCTTAACCGCTGAGCCACTGTGAAGTTAGGATGGACCCAAAAAGATAGTACTTATGACCCAGATTCTAAATCCTGTTGACTGCCCCCCCCTCATGTGATCACATTTTGGGTACTCGACAAGCAACCCACATTTGTGTAGCATCCCACAGTCATGTGACCATGGTTTATGCTGGAAACCAACATTTACTTCCGGTTTCCCACAAAAAATGCCCATTGCAAACAATGGGTTTGCTTAATGACCACAGCATCCACTTAACAACAGCCACAAAACTATGTTGTAAAATTGGGTCATTCCCAGAATGACATGCCTAATGGTCAGCACGAGTTGAAATCGTAATTCCAGGCTCAATTGCAATCATAAGCTAAAGATTACCTCTATTTTCTAAATATATATATATATTTCAGGTGCATTGGAAAAAACAATCCGTAACTGAATGAAGTCTCTTAAGGAACAAATATGAGGAAGAAGACCAAATAACAGACGGGACCTTCAAATGGCATAGGACAATTCTTGCTTACCGTAATGAGTTTTGCTGCTGCTTTTGCGGAGGTTTTAAATGCTGCTTTTTGGATTTCTTGAAGGACGAGAACAGAGAAGCAAACGGTGTTTTCAATCCTTCTAGTATGGAAGTAGATCCAGGCTTCTGGGCTTGTGGGACTTCCAAAGCAGAACCCTTTGTGTTTGCAGAATCTGAAAGAAGAAAAACTAATGTTTATAAAAGATGCGGCCATATATTGTACAAAACAGTGATGTTGTTCTGTTATGATTTATTCAGTTTTTCTATAGCTGCCCAAGTCAACTAAGTGACACAGTGATATTGTCTAGCATGAAGATTTTTTTTTTTAATAGAAGGTCCCTAGTGCAAGTGACCAAATAAAGAACATATTTTTAAATGGCCAAAATCTTACAGCAACATCAAAAGCTCATAAGATTTTTGACCTTCTTTCTGGAAAATAATTTCATTTATCTGTTTGTTTGTAGCCTTTTGATGCGGGTGAAGAAGGAGAGTGTAAAAGTTGGCTTGAAACTCAACATTAAGAAAACTAAGATCATGGCATCCGACCCTCTCAATTCCTGGCAAATAGATGGGGAAGAAAGGAGGTAGTGACAGATTTTATTTTCCTGGGCTCCAAGATTACTGCAGATGGGGACTGCAGCCAAGTAATTAAAAGACGCTTGCTCCTGGAGAGGAAAACTATGGCAAATCTAGACAGCACACTAAAAAGCACAGACATCACCCTGCCAACAAAACTGCGTATAGTCAAGGCTATGGTGTTCTCAGTTGCAATGTGTGGCTGTGAAAGTTGGACCATAAGGAAGGCTGAGCGCCAAAGAATTGAGGCCTTTGAACTATGGTGCTGGAGAAGACTTCTGCGAGTCCCTTGGACTGCAAGGTGAACAAACAACTCAGTCCTAGAGGAGATCAACCCTGGCTGCTCTTTAGAAGGTCAGGTCCTGAAGATGAAACTCAAATACTTTGGCCACCTAATGAGAAGGAAGGACTCACTGGAGACGAGTCTAATGCTGGGAAAGATTGAGGGCAAAAGAAGAAGGGGAGGACAGAGAACGAGGTGGCTAGATGGAGTCACTGAAGCAGTAGGCGTGAGCTTAAATTGGACTCCAGAGGATGGTAGAGGATAGGAAGGCCTGGAGGAACATTGTCCATGCGGTCACAATGGGTCGGACATGACTTCGCAACTAACAACAATTGTAGCCTTTATTATTTTTAAGGCAGTAAACATACCTAATATTTCTTCTTCCTTATATTTTCCCCACAATAACAACCCTGTGTGATAGACTGGGCTGAGAGAGAGTGACTGACTCAAAGTCACCCAGCCAACTTTCATGCCTAAGGTAGGACTAGAATTCACAGTCTCCTGGTTTCTAGCCCAATGCCTTAACCACTAGACTGGATTTACTATTCTTGCTCAGTTCTGTGAAATATAAGTGAGGGTCCAAGGACACTAGCTGGGGGAATTGTCTATGCCAACTTGCCCAAAGGCATTGCACTCCAACTCCTGATTATTATGGCAGTCCTAAAACGTTTGTGATAGTTTACATCAGTGGTCCCCAACCTTTTTATCGCCGCAGCCCGCTGAGCGCGCGCAGGGGTGGGGGCACGGCCCAGGAGCTTTTGCGCACGGCCCATTGCGCACGGCCCAGGAGCCTTTGCGCTGCAGCGTTCATGTCCCCCGGCCGCTGCGCGGCCCGGTGCCAGGTACTCCACGGCCCGGCACCGGTCCGCGGACCGGGGGTTGGGGACCACTGGTTTACATGATCCACATAAAGGAAAGGGTGAGAACTGTGGCTTAATATGGTGTGAGAAGACCACCAATGGTGATTAAACCACCTGTGTGTGGAATAAAAAAGGCTAGTTGGGAACTTGCTAAAAGCAATAGCACCACAAAAGTGTTTCTTACATCTTTATTAGTGCTGAGTAAGGCAATCGACAGACTTAAATCTTTTTGCTCTGATATCTGATTATCTTGTCACTTGCATGTTTCTGAGCTCCACCCCATCTGTCAAATTCTATCATCCATTTCATCTATCTAAATTGAGTTTCTGTTCCTTGACAGGTAGATAGGAGATACCCATTGTTTTATCCGCAATCTGATTTATCTAAAGTGCTTTTGTGTCTTATCTTCCGCAGAATGACAACAGGACATGAATGCAGTAAGAGTTAATTACCGTTCTGCAGATATTCCTGTGATACACAATTTATTATTTTCCTCCCTGTAAAACCTCTTTTAAAAGCATGAGTAGCGATCCCACTAGAATGTATTTTCTGTTGTAATCAGACTAATGTCTTCACTTGATGGAAAACCAAAATTAAGTTTCAGTGTTGTCTTTTAATATTGTTTTCTACACTAGGAAAAAACTCAATCATATTTTAGTGCTGATGCCAAACACAAGCTCAATTATGCGTGCATATGCATATATATGTTGGCAGGTATCCATCTGTCTAGCTGTGTGTATATGTAGAAAAATTAACCTTTTCCTTTCCCCATGCCACAGATAGCATTGTTATTCATTGTGAATAAACTACAGTAGTGACAACTCACTGTTTCCCATGGCCTTTTTCAACAGGTGAACTAGTGGCTGTTTCGGCGTTCTGCTGATATCCGTCTCACTTTTAAATTTTCTCTTCTGGAAATCTTCAAGCCATTCTCCTGTCCGTCCTGGACACCTTGTTGTATCTTCATTTTTCTTTTGACATTTGCTTAAACAAAGACACAGAAATTACTGAACAGCTTCTTATTGCCTTTCAAGGTCTCAATACTGTCCTCAGAAGAGTTATGGTTCTCTAAAATAAGCTACGTATAGGAAATCCTTGTTCAGTGACTATAATTGTGCATAGTTGCTATAAGAGGCAATCAGTAAATAAGGACCACCTTCATTCTAAAGACTGTGGGAGAATATTGTTTTAAAATTCTATAAGCGCAAATTGATTTTTTCCTGGGAAAAATAAATTAATATAGTGCTGGGATGGCGAACCTATGGCACTCGTGCCACCTGTAGCACGTGGAGCCATATTTGTGGGCATGCGAGCATTGCCCTAGTTCAGCTCCAGCGCCGGCCAGCTGATTTTTGGGCCTTCTGGGCCCACCGGAAGTTGGGAAATAGGCCATTTCCAGCCTCCAGAGGGCTTCCGGGGGGGTGGGAGAGGCCATTTTCACCTCCCCAGGCTCCAAGAAAGCCCCTGGAGCCTGGGGAGGACAAAAAAACGGCCCACCAGTAATCTTTTTTCTGTCATGTGCCAAAAGTGGGGGGAGCATGGGGGGCATTGAATTATGGGTGTGGACACACATGCTCGCGACCACCCCCACGCTGCCCCCGCATTTGGCATACGACAGCAAATAAGTTAGCCATCACTGATATAGTGTATAACATAGTGTCTGTTCAAATTGTGTGCTTAGGCATTCCACTAGCCATTCTCAATCCATTCTAAGGGAGACCAATGAAATTTAAATTATCCCAGTATCTAGTTTACAGTAGTTCTAGACTTATGAACATTCATTTAACAACAGTTTGAAATTATCACAGCAATGAAAAAAGTGACTTATATGACCTGTCCTCAAAGTTATGATCATTACATCACTATGATTGCAATTTGGGTGCTTGGCAATGAGCTTGAATGTACATCAGTTGCAGTATTAATTTTATTTATTTATAAAATTTATTGGCCACCCATCTCACCACAGGGCAACTCTGGGCAGTCAACTTACGGTCATAAAAATGTATTTATACAGTACATTAAAACATAAATAAATTAAAACCAGACATTCAAATCCAATGACACATGGGGAGGTTGTGGGCAGATTGGAGAGAAGTGGGATCTGTTGTTACTTGATCAACCACCTCCACTGCGCTGCACTGTTCTCCCATTGGGGCCCCAAGCCAACTGGCAGATCCAGGTCTTGAAACCCTTATGAAAGAAAGCATAGGTCAGTGGTGAAATGTAAAATTTGTTACTACCGGTTCTGTGGGCCTGGTTTGGTGGTGATGGTGGTGGTGTAATGTGACTGGGTGGGCGTGGCCAACTTTTTTTTTTTTTTTTACTTTTAAAAGCATTTTTTTCTATAACCTTAAAAGGTTGCAGAAAAAAATGCTTTTAGAACTCTCTGATGATCAGGCAACTCAGCTGGGATCGCCAGAGGCTTTTAAAGGCATTTTTTTTTCTACACCTCTTCGACTGAAGAGGTTGCAGGAAAAAATGCTTTTAAAAGCCTCTGACGATCCCAGTTGAGCCGCGTGATCATCAAAGGCTTTTTTTAAAAACTTTTAAAAGCATTTTTTCAGCCGAAGAGGTTGCAGGAAAAAATGCTTTTAAAAGTAAAAAAGACAGCCTCTGATGATTGTGCGGCTCAGCTGGGCATGGGGGGGGGGGGCAAGGATTTTTTGCTAGCCTCCGGAGCCCGGGGAGGGCAAAAATGCCCCCCTGCTGTGGTGCAGGAGGCCAACTAGGCCATGCCCACCATGGCCACGCCCAACCAGCAAGGGCAGAGAACCCCTTGCTAAAATTTTTGAAGCCCACCCCTGACTGTAAGTGAAATAAGGAGAGACTCACTGTGCTGACCCTCAATTAACTTTCATGGTTTGTTTGTTTTTACAGAAATATAAAAGAAAAACAAAGGATCCATCTCCACAAGTTTATAAACCAAGTTTATCAGTGGCTAATTATCTTATTAAATAGTTATCCCAGAAATACAGAATATAGAATAACAGAGTTGGAAGGGACCTTTGAAGTCTTCTAGTCCAACTCCTTGCTTAAGCAGGAGACCTTATGCTATTCCAGACAAATGGCTATCTAATCTCTTCTTAAAAACTTCCAGTGATGAAGCACCCAGAAGGCAAGCCACTTCACTGGTTAATTGTTGTCACTGTTAGGAAATTTCTCCATACTTCTTGGCTGCATCTCTCCTTGATAAGTTTCCATCCATTACTTCTTGTTCTGCCCTCAGATGTTTGGAAAATAGGTTGACCCCCCTCTTCTCTGTGACAGCCCCTCAAATATTGGAAGGCGGCTATCATGTCGCTCCTAGTCCTTCTCTTCTTTGTTAGATTAACATACCCAGTTCCTGTAACCATTCATCATATGTTTTAGCCTCTAGTCCCCCAATCATCTTTGTTGCTCTTCTCTGCAATCTTTCTAGAATCTCAATATCTTTTTTGTATCATGGTGATCCCTACTGGATGCAATATTCCAATGTGGTCTTACCCACATTGTATAAAGTAGTACTTTACA